TTGTTGCACTATTTGATGGTGCAGTCTTTCACAGAGTGGTGAACCCCTCCTCATCTTTACTTCTGAAAGACTCCGCCTCTCTGAGATGCTCTTTTATACCCAATCATGTTCCTGACCTGCTGCCAATTAACCACCAGGTGTTTTTTTAGCATTACACAACTTTACCAGTCTTTTGTTGCCCCAGTCCCAACTTTTTGGAACGTGTTGTTGGCATCAAATTCAAAATAGGGCATATAGTTTTCAAAAAACAATAAAATTTCTCAGTGTAACATTTGATTTGTTGTCTTTGTACTATTTTCAACGAAATATAGGGTTTAAATGATTTGCACATCATTGCACTTTGTTTTTATTTACATTTTGCACAGCATCCCAACTTTTTTGGAAAGAGGGGTTGTACGCTCCAGAACAGAACATAGCAATAAAGATAGAATGGAGCAGGTCAGGCAATACGGGCTGCAGCATAAAAACCTGACAAATATGTTATACAGTTTTTGGTGGGCTGCAAATACAGTGGGTTCCAAAAAGTCTGAATCCACCAGTGAAAATGCTTCTATTTGGCTTTGTATTCTAATTTAATACAGAATTTTTCTTTGAAAATTATCAGCATAACAGTATTTGGTATTTGTGTTACTGACACTCGTGTGCCCTCGTCGGTATGGCCTTCACAAGTTTGTGCAAAAGCCTCTGATGGGCAGATCAAATCCTTTGAACATAAGTGTCAGTGGAAGGAATAAGACTGAAAAACTGAGCTTTTTGTTGAAAGGCATGGTTTCTCATATCACAAATTGCTTTCATTTAACAGTGACTGAGAAGTAATGAAAAATCTTGAATGTTTCTTGTTCGTTTCACTTGTCATAGCTTTGCTTTGCTTTGCTTTGAATGTGATCTCAGACTTTCTGACCCCACTAGATTGGGTAAACATGACTCTATATCATGGTAAGGATAATTACCAAACTTAATTCTGACATTTACTACAACACATCCCAACAAAACATCTTTTCTTCAATTATGTTGTAGTATAAATAAGGATTTAACATTCAAATGGTCAAAATAATCTCTGTGGCAATTCTAATAGTTCTGGCCCCTCTGAGTATTATGGGTCAAGACAAGTTGCCGGTAACCAGGGGGCTAATTAGCTAGCCTGCTAGCCAGTTAATGTCAACATGCTAAAATAAATTCTTCAACAAATTCATTATATAATAGTAATAATAATAATAATAATAAATTCTAGCTACTATTCATGCTAACTATTGAATTTCTGAAAGTTTCATGTAAATTACTTGCATGAAAGTTTCACCACGTACAGCCAGCCTCATCCTCTCCAACCAGTATTGATTCAGAGCTTTCTAGTGGAAGCGCCTGGCGCCGAGCTCCAGTGCGAGTCCAGTCGGAGGTCAAATAAAACTTGCAGGCCACCTCAGAGTAACCAGGTCAGCTGTAGAGGGTTTGGCATGAGACAGCAAAAAAATCAGCTCATGATGGAGGTCAGGCAGTGCCACAGCTCAGCCAGACGAAAAGAAGACAAGAGAAATCAGGAGAAAGATGGTCTCCAGCAGTCATGAAAAAGGTGGCGTTCAAATGACTCTACTTCAGAAACAAAAATCAAAAGTATTCAAACCCCAATATTCTGAATAAAGCAGCTGACTCTTGAGGCGCAAAGCCACACGGTCAGAAAATCATGTGAAAGTTATATAAGAAAAAGCTATTTTTAAGTAAAAGCTTTCAGTCCTGCTTGAGTAACTCAGGTATGTGGATCAAAAGAAGAGAAACCTCAGAGGCACCACTGGAGCAAATTCATAAATGTGACAAAAAATACCACTTTCTGCTCAGCATAGAGAAAAACTGAATATTACTAAAGCATATACAGCAGTACATTCACAGTAATTAAAGACTCCTTGCCTTGGTAAACAGTGGATATTCCAGCTTTGAAAGCACATGCTTTTGTTCACCTCTGTCCATCTGAGGAGATGAAAGGCAAAATTGTCTTATCAAACAGACGAAGCAAGGCTCTCGTTTCTAATTCTGTTTCAAGTCTAATTGGTTGATATCTTGTTGTAGACCCAGTTCCAGTACCAGGAGCACTTGGAAATATTGAAAACATCATGATCAGGGCCATTAGACCACTGCTCCATAGCTTTCCATGCTGCATTTTTTGCCTGTGGTCATCTGCATATCCTAGCGGAAGTATCATTACTCTGATCAATTAAACTTCCCACATCAGTAAGGAATTGTTGATATACTGCAACAGCCGTATCCTGTGTTCACGTACATATGTAGACTGTGTTTTGGGCCTTCTACTTCAAATGCACGCAAAGTGCCTTCATAAGATCCTGCTGGTGTGGGTTGCCTCCCTTTCAGTGACTCCCTTGTGAAGAATCTTCAAGACAGCAACTGAGTTAAGGCTGATGTATACACTGCATGTCAAAAAGGATCCAGGTGCCCCTTCTAATTAGCTAATTAAACTACCTTAAGGTGCCATTGCTGACACAGGCTTGTACAAAGGCCATAGAAAAGCACTGCCAACAGAATGGGATGTCATAGGTATAATGCTCCCCAGCATCATTCTCTAGAGTGATGGAGCACCACTCAACATATTTGGGATAAGCTGAAGTGATGTTTGTGGTCCAGAACTAACCATTCAAAATCAGCACTTTACCTCACTAATGCTCTTGTGGCTGAATGCAATCAAATCTTCACGTTCCAACATCTAGTCTAAAGCCTTCCCAGCAGAGTAGAGGCTGTTACTGCAGCACAGTGGGATGACCTCCCTCTTAATAACCCTTGATTTCAGAAGAAACAATGGATGAGCAGGTGTCTACAAACTTTTGGACATATAGTGTACTGTGAAAGTGTGCAAATGTGTTAGCATAGAGATATAAAGGATGGGTTTATGGCAGGGATGGACTGGTCATCGATAATACTAGCCACACTACTAATGTTAAAGACTGAGTGAAATGTGTTCAGATAATCTGGTCATCTTTGGGTACTTAGCAAGGTAAAAACAGCATCCTCACAGAATTAGGTGACCGTTAAATATTAACTGTACAGTTAAATCACCTTTATCCCACTAACAAGCTACTGAAATAGCCAATTTATTTCACTCTAGAAAAAGCAACCAGTAAGTAAGTGTGCAGTGATGGATGGTTATTGTTTAGGTGATTGTATTGGGCCAGTCTGGACCAAAAGTCCACCAATTTTGATTCTAGTCCTGGTTTATGGCTGACAGTAGCTTGCAGAGGCTTGCAAAGGAGCTGACATGCCATGCCTCCAAAATATTATTCAGCCCCTACAAGCTAAGTCCATAAAATGCATAAAAGGAGAGTTCGGTATGTTTTGTGCACTCAGATGTGTTTAGAAGTAAAATAAATAAGAAATACTCGAGATTCTGTACTATTTCTAGGTCCCTATTCAAAGTCAAGCAAATCTGTGACACTGACCAACTTGAGGCCTTTGTACAAACAGGTTAATTTCTTCCACTGAAGACGACTCTCAGGAGAATCTGATCTGCTCATCCGAGGCTTTTGCACAATCTTTAAAGCAAAAAAAAAACTTCTAATTCTGCTGTTTTTCTTCTACTTTTCATTCAGATTGTCATGCTGATAATTTGTAATGAAAAACATTTTACTAAATTAGAAAAAAATGCAAAATAGCAGCATTTTCACTCGTGGTCTCAGACTTTTGGACCCTAATGTATTTCAAAGTGTCCATTGTTAAATTTCGCTGAGTATAATGTTTAGGCATGGCTTTAGTCATTAAGGGACCGTCTAAACAGTGCCAAACATGTTTCGTATGTATTTAGCTAAAAGAAGGCTCATCAAATCAACTCACTCGCAGTAAAGAGAGTGGTTTCCCTTAACAGGGGTTAGTAGTGGCTCCTCTACTACAAATGATTTAATGTGATTTTGCATTCTTTTAGCTAAATACATGAGAAATAAGACTTAGACAGACACCCAGCGATCTGCGCTTCCGAAAACAATATTAAACAAATATTTAACGATGAGCAATAAAAATACTGTATTTTATTCTCTGTCTTCTCAGGAGTGAGAAAATGTAGGTTTGATCGTCATTGGATGTTTATTTCATGAGAAACTGAGGAAAGAATGTCGAATTTCCAATGAAATGTACCAAATTTACTGCACTGTTTTTCAAAACCTCAGTATTCTGTTCCTTTTCTGGCTAATTTCGTCACTCGTGGTTGGCTAAAAGCAGTCATTACTTAGCAACCAGTGTTCAGCGTAACAATACAGTTATAGTGAAAGAAAAAAAAGGTGCTGTTAACACAAATAACAACACAGGCAAAGCACCTCTCACCAATCAGACTGGACCGTCAGAACTAGCTGTTGTACAATATGACATGACTGTGATCTTACTTAACATAATCTGTAACACTTCACTGTTCATAAGACTACATGACCCCTATATGACATAACCCTGCATACATGTTTATAAAGGCTTATTCCTGTAGGCGTCATCTGTCATAAAGGCTCGTTTAGCTAACTTTGATCAAAACTGGCAAATGTAGCCTTTATAGTGAATTACGTCTATTGGAATAAGCATTTATGAACATTCATGTGGAGTTATCATGTCATGACAAACTCATGTAGTTGTCTTTGAACAGCACCCTACAGTAAAGTGTTACCACATGATATATATGACATATAATCATATGATATCTGCCATCAGATGTTTATGGCATGGTTATGTCAGTGGTATGTAGCAGGATTCAAGCAAAGTGTTACTGTTTTGTTTTTTGGGTCTCATCTCAACCCCAACACCAGCGGATATGCTTCATTGCCCAACCAATCAGTGGTTACTTAATCAACAGCACCACAGATTCAAATGATGTATAGTCGAGATTGTAAGTGTTACCCTGACAGCTGCGGCTACCGATATACCCCTCTACACAATCAGGTTCATGTCTTCAAGGAGGTATAAATCAGCCATTTACAAGCCAGCTCACGAAGTGCTTCACATCAAAAACAAGCTCTGGGAACAAAACTTCAGCTGACTGCCACTATTGGCTCCACCGAGAGAATATCGGTCTTCCCTGATTGGCCGAGAGAGGTGGACCGGAGGGCGTGGCTTTCTTTGGGATTGGACTGCTGTGAGGACGCGTGGCTTTCTGGCCAGGCCGCACGGTGACTCCCGTCCCGAGGGGGCGCCATCGGGTCTGGGTCGTTGCCTTGGCAGCTGCTGCCCCTCCCCCGGCCCCGCCTGTTTCTGCACATGCTCAGTAGGTAGGTGAGCTCAGCCCTGAAGCCCTGGTTGAGCCAGCAGTAGATGAAGGGGTTGTAGCAGGTGGAGCTCATGGCCAGCCAGTGGAAAGTGAAGTAGATGGCGTTGTTGGAGTGAATGGCCTGACTGGACAGCAGCACCACGTAGCAGTTTAGCGGGAACCAGCACACCGCGAACACGGCCACCACCAGCACCAGCATCTTTATGGTCCGCTTCCTCTTCCTTCGCTGCAGGAAATACTGTTCGCTCGTCACGTCGCCGATGGCGTTCCTGCGCCAAAGCCGCCGGGCCACGGCCCAGTACGCCGCCGTGATGATGAGGAGCGGCAGAACGTAGAGCAGGATGAAGGTCACCAGGTCCAGATACTGCCGGTACAGCTCGGATGGCTCAGGGAAGTCCGGCACACACAGGGAGCGGACGATATCCTTACTGAGAGATAGGGGAAGGGAGAGAGAGGGGAGGAGGGGGGGGAGTAGGAAAAGAGCAAAAGAGGAAGAGAAGAGCGAGGGAAAAGGAAAGAGAGTAATGGAGGGAAGGGGGAGACGACAGAGGGAGGGTAAAGAGTGATAGCAAAGGAAAAAAGAAAGGGAGAAGGAAAGATATAGATGACATGAAAGGGAGGAGAAAGTAGAGAGAGTAAGAGAGAGAGGGGGAAGGGAAGAAAGACAAAAAGAGCAAACGTGAAAGAGAAAAGAAAGGGAGAAAGAAAAGAAAGAAAAAGAGAGATTATATTAAATGAGTAAGAGAGAAAGTGGGAGTAAGAAGGAGAAAAGAAAGGCAAGAAAGAAAGATGAAGAAAGGGGAGACATTGAGAGAGAGAGAGAGAGAGAGAGAGAGAGAGAGGGAGAGGGAGAGAGAGAGAGAAGGAGAGAAGAGAGAATTAGAGAGGGGGTAGGAAGAGGGGGAGAGAGACAAAAGGGGGAAGAAGGAAAGAGAGAATGATGGAGAAAAAAGGAAAAGAACAAAAAAGAGACAGGAGTGAAGAGAGGGAAAGAAAGGGGGGAGGAAAGAGCAAAGAGAGGGAGAAGGAAAGAGAGATGGAAGGAAAAGAGGGGAAGGAGAGAGTGAGGGAATGAGAGAGAGAGAGAGAGAGAGAGAGAGAGAGTGTTGAGATCTGGATCTTGATCTGGATCAGATCTGTAGTGAAAGCAGTAATTTAACTCCAGTGTGAATCTGCACTGTGTGTAATTTAGTCTGACCGTAATGTTTGACCCGGGGCTCCCTTAGTAATAGTCCTGTTCCAATCCGCCACACACTAATGGATTAATTAATTAAACCTGTTAATTTAGAATAAAACTCTTTCTGGTGTCTGAAACACGAGGCTCACTCTGCTTAAACAGAGCATGACCTCAAGCCATTCTTCTATCCTCAAACCTGCTGTTACTGTCTGGCACTGTGGAGCTATGATGCTTCAATTAGCAGTGTTCTCCCACCACCTGGACAAACTCGTGCGCTGTCCGGCTTGGACGAGGCCTCAGACTATAACTGGGAGTCTAACGTTGGCTTCCTAAGAGTGCTGCACAATATGGATGTTAAATGTGATGTTTAATAAAGCTGTTGGATATCATGAAGATCTGAGAAGTGATTAATTATTCTTAAAATAACTGGATGTGTCGCACGTAGACTTTTTTTTCAGGTGACACCTACAGACACCTAAAAACCCTCTCCAGTACTGTGCAAATTATTGTGTATAAGAAATGCAACCACATTCTTGTGTACAGGGACAAACAGTATCACTGATGTGAAGCGCTGCTTTAATGATGCTTCAAAAGCTATTTGTCTGCTAATAGCGCCCCCCTGCATTGAAAAGTTAAGTGGAGTTGAATCCAGTCAACTCGATGCATCTACCCAATCAGAAGGCAGCTGGTGTTTGCAATATTCAGTACTACCGTCTGGTCTGCCGGCCGTTTGTTGGAGCATTTACATTACTTTTACAGCATTTGGCGGACGCTCTTATCCAAAGTGACCTACCATTTGATCATTTTGCACAGGTAAACAAAGGTAGTGTTAGGAGTCTTGCCCAGGGATTCTTCTTGGTATAGTGTATATGTTCTTGTGCGACATGGAAGATGGCGAAAACTAAACACTACAACCTCTAAAATTTTAAATCGGAGTGGGAAAACGTGGGATTGCAGAAACTCATATTGTGAAAACAATAGAAAATAGGATTCGTTGTACAGCCCTCCTTCCTAGGTTTTTGAATGGTCTGTGCTAAAGTACGATTCTCCGGCAGTGCAGCAGAGGTGCAATGGTTTGTACCGGAGGAGCAGCGTCTAGCTAGCCTTTTTACAATCTCTCTGCTCCAGTCTTCTAGCATCTGATTTAGTCATAGTACTGTTTCATCACAGACTTTTTTTTTTTGGCAGAAAGTTTTTTTTGGCAAAGATGTGCCTTTATTGCTTGCGATGAGAGAGAGGACCAATCAGAGTGTATTGTTTTGTTTACAGTAGGGCAATGATTACTCAATTCATTGATTAAAATTGACATTCCTAATGAATCATGACTGATGATGCCACATTTTTCATTCAAAATTACAATCTGGTCATTAGAAAGCTGAGCTCAGCAGTCTGAACACTCTCCACAAGGGTGAACGACCAGCACTCCGCTTTTGACTGCACTCAACAGAGTGTTCAGATAAGGGGACAGGGTTTCTGCCTACTTCGATATCAGTGATGATATGGAAGTGAGTCCTGAACGTAAATCTTTTCAGATCTTTTTTTTTGCCATGAGTGAAATAACATCAGTAGGTGAATTATTTCAGTGTTTGATTTGATTTACAGTGACATTTCATAGCCTGTTTGAATCATCTAAACAGGTTGGCAAGCCTGTTATCTCATCTTCCCCACTGAGTGAACTACAACCAAACACATTGACTCGTATTTTGCTATTTCCCAAACTCTAATATCTGTTGCTTCAGTCAAAGAAATCAGAAGGTTTGTGAAATAATTGCTACCTGGGGAGTTTCTAGGCTAAGTTCATGGGAATGGCCCAGTGATCACATTAATCATTAGGAAATTATGTTGAACTGCCTTAGTTGTTGTGGTCAGTTTATTTCATGTGTCTGATCTTTATTTCTAGGATATTTTACTTTTTATATTATGTATCAGCATAATTAGAAAGCCTATTTCAATTTCAATTCAATTTTCTTCAGTCCTGGGCTCAGTCCTGCCCCTGGTTTCATATTAGGAGCTGACACTCACCATTAAAATAAAATTAGACTGATATTGTCACCTTCCCCTTGATCAATAAGCCTCTAACACTGCATGCTAACAGTAAGCGAACCCCTAAATGTAGTATAACATTGCAAAGCTTACAGTTTCACACTGGAATCGTCAAATGTGCGCATCAAGTCAAACTGTAAACAAACCACAGACCTAACAGGAAATAGCTGCTTTACTGATGGAGCTGTCCAGCTGTGGTTTCAGGACAATCATATAATAGAGGTTATGTTTTATGCCCACAATTAACATTAGTCATCTAAACCCACTGACCCAAAAATTGCTCAAATTTGGTGGCAGCCCATTTTGTAGCACTGGCAATCCAACCCACATTTTAAGAATCCTCATATTTCTTCTTTCTCATTTCATTCAAAGTTGGAATTTTGGAGAAAAAAAAACAACAAAAAAAATTCAGAAGTAATTATGGACTATAATTTCTCTCATGAGTATCTACATACATATATTATTGTCATTTTTATATTATTTTCCTTTTGTACTTTGGTCCAGTGCCGTTCCTTTTTTGTAAATTTTGGATATTTTCAAGAAAAAATGAATGTTCTGTTCATCAATTTGATCATTTCTCACAAAGATGACAAAATAGGCCAATATGTCAATGAATCAAAGAGTGTGTGCTGTCTAGAAGAATCCAAAACATTTCGGTTGATTATAATGGGAGGGTTCTGTTGTTGGCACTTGCTGTGAAAGGTGTCAAAGACTGTTCTGGAATTCTTCTGGGGCCTAAAAAAATAAATGACTCAGTTAATCATCAAAATAATATCTACATTTCAGCGTAATCCATACTGAGAGTTTGGATACTGAGAATTAAAACTTTTGTAAAATAGAGTTTGATTTAGGATGCAAATAAAGTTTTAAAAACGTATTGTTCACCCCCCAGTTCATACGTTCCATATGTAAAAATGTTTTGAATTTATTATTTCTGTGATGTCATGAAAAACAACATACTGACACATATCCAGTTATTCAGCCTGTGGCAACTCAGCCCTGCCCATTCATGCTGAGGTCATAAGGAGTATTTAGCCTGGACTGCTTTTCAAATGAGGCACAGTACAGGGCAGCCAATCAGAGCTCAACTACATATATGTCTTAAAGGTACAGTAGCAAAAACAGCCTGTTGAATAAAGTGATGTTGGAAAATGGTCATGTGAAAATCGAGAATGGCTGTTTTTCAGTACATAAACCCGTTTACATGTTATAAGAAATATGAAGGATATGGGCCCTTTAAAACCTAGAGCCCTTGAGGTTTCTCGAACTCTACATCTGGACCTTAATAATGTCACCTATGTGCAGTCTTGCAGGATGACCGCAGGCTCTAGGGCTCCCCTGGGGACAGTACTTTTAGTGGCGGTGTACAAGCAAAGGGGTTAAACCCAGATTAGTTAGATTAGTTGAACTAGTTGCAGCTCTAGTTTCAGTCCAGGTTATCTGTGAGAATCGAATGAAATTATACATATTTTTATCCAGAACTAATCAGACAAACAAATCCCACACAACCAACCTCCACTGGAAAAGCGAATCCAGCTCCAATGGCGTTTATAGAAAAAAGAAAAAGTGCTGAGAATTCAGCGAGCTCAGAATTTCCCTCTGATTCTTAGAAAGCAGCCAGTGGGTGATATTCTCGGCGTTTGTGTGAGAGTTCTAGCTGTCTATAAATCGTGGCCTAATAAAATGAACGCTTTTCTTCTCCCACGAATAACACAGCAAGCTCTTCACTGCTTTCAGCCCATCAAGCGTTTTGATACACCCACCGCTCAGCACGGCATCTATGAATTATTAATAGAGCCATTCTTGGTTGTTATTTGTGATGTCTCATGCAAACAGATGGACCGTTTGGGGAATTCACACGTGCAGGCCCGCACTCCCACAACACCACACACACACACCTGAACAGGTGGTTTACCTGTACACAAAAGTGAACAGCTTCTGGAAGATGGCGTGAGGCAGCGAGAAGCAGGTGGCCATCAGCCAGATAAAGACGATGCACACTGCGCCCTGGCCTGTGCACATCCGCGGCTTCAGAGGATGTAGGATCACCTGCGCACACGCAGCGGTCAACAGTTAGACATATACACACACTGCAATTGACCTGTCCATGCCCTGCACACTAGGTTGGATAAGTGGTCCCATCCCATCTGTTTTTTTGGGGGGTTTATTTTAACTTAAGGGTGTTACTTTTGTTCAGTTGTTTAAACAGCAGTGGCTATGGTGTTCCAGGTGGATGCTAGGTTATTGTTAGATGGTTGCTATTTCATTTCAGGTGGTTGATAAGATGTTGCTAGGCCGTTAACCCAATCATCTGTTTAGGTGTTGTTAGGCCATTGTTTTGCTTTCCCAAATGGTTGCTAAAGTCTTGCTAGGTCATCGCTATGTTATCCCAGGGAGTTGCTAAGATGTTGCCTGGCTATTGCTATGGCGCTGCTAGGAGTTGCTAAGCCGTTGGTAAGGTACTCAGTGATAATATGTGTGTGTATGTCTGTGATAGTGTCTATGAGTGTCAGTGGGAGAGGTGTCCACTGTGACATCAATCAGCAGCATATTTCCACAGGTCACACACAAAGCAAGGTCTCTTTAGCTGTACCTGACTAAAGTTTTCAAAACACCTCTTAGGCTAATTTGAGTGAAATCACTGTATCACATGGCTTTAATTACTTTAATTACAATTTAGTTACAGAACAACAATATTTTGTTGGCTAGTCTAACTTACTCAACAAATGCTCATGTTGTTTGGATGATCTGATGCTTATTTTAGCTAACTAACCAAAGTTCTATGCTTTAGCAAACGCCTACAGTGTTTGATTGATTGGCAAATTCCTACTAATGCAAACCAATAACACTCACTACAATAGTTGCTGTACACCATTTGTGTCAGGCTCCAGTCCTTGCAGGCCAAGACACTGTAGACTTCAGCATATTACCTCATTAATCACACCTGATTCAGCTCATCAGCTCATCAGCAAGGCCTTCATGAACTGAATTCAGGGCATTAGATGAGGGTAAACACTGATCACTGCAGCACTTTTGCCTGCAAGGTCCCCAGTTTGACACGCATGCTGTACACTCTTAAAAAACGATGGCTCTTCAAGGGTTCTTTAGTAAAGAAAATGGTTCTATATAGCACCGAAAAGGTGTTCTTCTATTGTTATGATGTCAAGCTTGTAACAATAGAAGAACACTTTTTGGTGCTATATAGAACCATTTTCAAAAAGGTTCTATATAAAACTGTAGACAACACAATCTTGAAAGAACAACTTCATGATGAAATCATGCAGTGGGTTCTTCAGGTGTTCATGGTTCTAAATAGAACAAGTTTCTTTACTAAAAACCCTTAAAGAACCATCTTTTTTAAGTGTAGTCACACTAGTTTGACAATTCTTTTATGATATCTCACTAAATCTGATTCAAAGTCTGACTTCTGCCAGAAAACAAACGCTTAAAAAAGCAGAAAAAAGCCTGCAGATGGGGGAAAGTTGATGTTGCTATGGCTACACCACTATCAGTCACTGTCTGGGAGTTTTATTATCCTGATCTTAAGGTTTTTTTCTCTGCTTGATAACCACCATATATATATGTATATTAGAGTTGACTGCCCCTTTTAAGATTGACTGGTCATTTTTTTTCTTTGCTGTACAATTTGATTAACAAATAGCTGACCTATCGAAGCTCCGCCCACAAATGTGTGTCTTTCATATCAACTATTGCCAGGTTGAACAAGTTTGACAGAATGTCAGCAAAAATCCCATGAAAATGTGTCTTTATTTAGAGTTGCTTTATAACACTGAGTTTCCAGTTTAAAGTGTTTCCCTCTGAACTGGACTTTGTTGCTGTGGTTAAACAGAACTAGGCAGGTTGATCTGTGGGTGCAACACTGTTTCTTCCACATCAAAAACCTATACGGATGTTTCTGTGTCATGCTTACTAGCTCTCAAATGGACTGTCACTATCTTATGGACCTGAATTCCTAAGATGCATCAGTCAGTCACATGACCCAGCCATCCAATCAGTCAGTTAGCAGATCCCAGTCACCTGAATTCTAATTGTTTTCACCTGTTTGCTCTTGTTTATCGCTGCTGTTGGAACAAAACCTCATATCTTCAGAATGGTAACTTTACAGGAGAAGAAAAAAACATACCTTACTTTTAATGCAAGTCAAAGGAACCAGACTTTTTTGGACCATTTCTGTTGGAAATTTTAACACAATGTAAGAAAAACGGGTATTTTCAATGTGTCCAAAACTGAAAATTGACAAAAATAGAGATACGAGGTTCTGACAGCAGCAAGATCTACCTGTCTGATTATCTGTGATTCACAAACTAACTTTTAAGTTTCTAAAGCTTCTAGGAGGCTTTATCAGTGAGCTCTGAGCTGTCTGAAGGCAAAACCTGCAGTATTTCTCTTTACTTTCAGTTTGTTTTTAGGGTGAAGTTAAACAAAGTGTACCAACATTTAAATCCACATTCATTAAATGTAGCTTTTCAAGCTACAGTTGTTACAAAGGCTATATGTATTATAGTCCTGTGCAAAAATCAAAGACCACCCTATTTCATCATTTTTCATAGTCATAGAAAAGCAGAAAACATTTACCATTACCAATTTTTCAGCTAAACAAAAGCTGGTGAGCCATTTCAGCTCCCATAACCTGCAGTTTCTCAGGTAGAGTCTGAGCTTCTAAAAGTCATTATGAATAATAATATAAAAATAATAATAATGAATAAATAGGTCAGTGCACATGGCCATTTAACATTCTCAAGGTCATTATAAAAAAATATTATTGATCAAATAAGTAAACAAATAAGTCTTTCTGGATCCATGACCTACTTTAACATTATAAATGTCAAGATAAAAACAATAATAAATAAAAATAGTAATAAAAATAATAACAGAGGTTAATATGTCAGTCCACAATGAATCGATGGCCTATTTTAGCCCCTACTGACGTTTCACGTTGCGCTTTTCACACAACAGAGCACCAGGATTGATTCGCTGATTCAGTTTGTAAATCAATATGTGTGTTTCTACTCTTCGCCTTTATTCCAGCTCACATTCTTTCAGATCTGCTTTCAGTTTTCAGAAACCTGCAGGGATATTGTTCCACACCTTAAACGTTCAGTCTCAGAAGTCGGTTTCTGCTTCTTGCAGTAGTATTTCAAACACATTAAGTGATGTAGAGAGTTAGACGTTGGGGTGGACGGTCCACTGTACTGAGAACGAGAACACCAGCAGCTTCATTATTTGACTCTTCTTTTGTGTCTCCTTTTCTCAGTGAGGCTTCTTGACAGCTGCACATCCTTAGCGCTGAGTTGTCTTCTAATAGTGGAAAGAGGGACAGTGGCACCTGTGGTGGGTGTTTCATCTCTTAAAGATGAAAGTTTTTGACTGACAGTTAACAGCATTTTTCCACCACATGGTACAGTTCAACTCTAATTGACTCGACTCGACTCACTTTTGGTACCAGCTACTTCATTTTCCACTGCAGATATAGCGCCCCCTCAATGTAGCTGGTCATCATAATGATTCCACATGAAATGCAGTGACATAAATGAGACAAATGTTGTTCAGAGGAGGCTGATGGCAGCAGACAGAATACTCCTAAAAATAAAAAGGAGAGTTTGGGAAAAATGACATCAGAGTCCAGAAGACGAGGCGATTCTGGCTGCTCAAAAGTGACGCAACCTGGTAGCTGGCGTTAGAATATGTGCTTAGGGTGATGATTCTCAGTTTTTCTCTTCAGTTTTTCTACGTCACCTTTTGGTTTCGCCTCAGCTCGCTTGGAACATCGATGAAGGTGATACTCAAAATAGTACCAGGTACCAGGTAGCAGGCGTGCCTTATGGAAACTAATGGAGACGACTTGAGTTGAGCTGATACCCTGCAGTGGAAAAGCAGCCTAAATGCTTTCTTATGTTGCAAGGTTGAACAAGCTTTACACAACATTTTTTCTCTATATATTACTAAACCAGCATAATAAATCTTGCGCATACTTAACGATGGCACATCTGAGCAGGGTTCTAGTTCAATCAAATATTGACAACTGTTTAATCACTGAGGAAGAAAAGAACATATACGAACAGCTGAGCTCAGTGATAATCTCACATTATAGACAGTCTCAGAGTTAAGAGGTCACTACTGGCCAAACAAAAGCGGTGAGTCATTTCAGCACCATAGTGCTGGACAGCTCCTAATAACCGTCAGTTTCTCAGGTGGTGTCTGAGCTTCTGAATGACATTATGAGTAATAATAATAATAATAATAATATGTCAGTATTTTATTTGGTAACAGAGCTGGGTGATACGGCAAAAAATGTAATATCATGATACTTAAAGTTTTCATGATACACAGTATACATTTTTGAACACCTGATAAACTGGAAAAGGCAAAGTAGTCCCACATTAAAAACCAGTCATAAACTATGAATTATACAACGATTTGTAGTCAATATTTCACACACTTTGCTGCACTAAATCCAGTGAAACAGGACTAATTATACTCACTATATAATCCAACTTGCAGTTGGGAAGAGTGTTTTTTAGGTACAGTTGATATCCACAATATGCTCAGAAAGGCCGAATGTGATGTCATGTATCACAATGAGAAATGGTCATACTGCCCAGCTTATTCTACAGAACATCTATAGTCCAGTTAATAACATGCTTTTACCAAGACTGATGAGCTGACAATGAAGTTCAGCCCTTCAGTAGATTCCTCATTTCCTTGTATGGGCCTTGAAACATTTTTTCCTTACATTTTGCAGCTCAAAAATGGAGAGAAATTGTATGGAAAGTGCTGATTCTGAACTAACAGTCCACATTTGTGTTTATAAGTAAAAGATTATATATTTGATTATAATTGATTTTACTGTTCATTCGTTACATTTCTGTCAACGTGACAAAAGGATAACAGTCGGAAGGGCATACTTGAATCTCCACATACAAAATGTCAATCAAATGTTAATTAATTTCATTATGTAACAATGTAATTTACTGTGTAACTATGTAATTACACTTTATTTTGAGTGGTCATTTTAGATGAAACACTCAACAGACTCTCTAACATGTCAAAGATATATGAGGGTTAGAATTAGCGCCAGGGTTAGGATTAGGTTTTGGGTTGGGGTTAAGGTTAGGGTTAGGATTAGGGCCAGGGTGAGGGTTAGGATTAGCGCCAGGGTTAGGTAAGGATTAGGTTTTGGGTTGGGGTTAATGTTAGGATTAGGGCCAGGGTGAGGGTTAGGATTAGGTTTTGGGTTGAGGTTAAGGTTAGGATTAGGGCCAGGGTGAGGGTTAGGATTAAATTTTGGGTTGAGGTTAAGGTTAGGATTAGGGCCAGGGTGAGGGTTAGGATTAGGTTTTGGGTTGAGGTTAAGGTTAGGATTAGGGCCAGGGTGAGGGTTAGGGTTAGGATTAGGGCCAGGGTTAGGTTAGGATTAGGTTTTGGGTTGAGGTTAAGGTTAGGATTACGGCCAGGGTGAGGGTTAGGATTAGGTTTTGGGTTGAGGTTAAGATTAGGATTAGGGCCAGGGTGAGGGTTAGGGTTAGGATTAGGGCCAGGGTGAGGGTTAGGATTAAATTTTGGGTTGAGGTTAAGGTTAGGGTTAGGGCCAGGGTGAGGGTTAGGATTAGGTTTTGGGTTGAGGTTAAGGTTAGGGTTAGGGTTAGGTTTTGGGTTGAGGTTAAGGTTAGGATTAGGGCCAGGGTGAGGGTTAGGGTTAGGATTAGGGCCAGGGTGAGGGTTAGGATTAAATTTTGGGTTGAGGTTAAGGTTAGGATTAGGGCCAGGGTGAGGGTTAGGGTTAGGATTAGGGCCAGGGTGAGGGTTAGGATTAGGTTTTGGGTTGGGGTTAAGGTTAGGATTAGGGTCAGGGTGAGGGTTAGGATTAGGTTTTGGGTTGGGGTTAGGATTAGGATTAGGGCCAGGGTGAGGGTTAGGGTTAGGATTAGGGCCAGGGTGAGGGTTAGGATTAGGTTTTGGGTTGAGGTTAAGGTTAGGATTAGGGCCAGGGTGAGGGTTAGGGTTAGGATTAGGGCTAGGGTGAGGGTTAGGATTAGGTGTTGGGTTGGGGTTAAGGTTAGGATTAGGGCCAGGGTGAGGGTTAGGTGTTGGGTAAGGTCAGGTTTTGCATAATGGAGGTAACACCTTAACAATACATCTACTTAATGTAAGTAATGTATCAACAGAACATCTACAAGATATTTACTTCAGTGTATCCAGATGCTTCACTGCTGCTACTTCACTGATATGTTGTTGATGTGTTACTGATACTCTGTTAAGAGCTTATTAATCATCTACAAACGAGCACTATAAACGATATATTTAAATAATTAATATCAAATTACAACATGTTTTTTTTTATCTCTGTAGGTTTTATCTCAATTCACTGGTCTGTAGCAATGAAAGTTCTTTACCTGTCGCCTGTCCAGTGCGATAGCGGTCAGCGTCAGAGTGGACACGTGAAGAGAGCAATACTGTACAAAGCGGCTAATGTGGCACATTCCTCTGCCGAACACCCACGTACTGTTAACGAAACGCACCTACAGAGCAACACACACACATCAGTTCCTGTCCATGTTCATCAAGTATCTGGACACTTTAAAGTCAAACGATGAGCAACATGATAGTTGTTTCAGAGTAAAACATGTTTAGCCTGATGATGGTCTCTCTGTGTGGAGAAGAACCGGCAAAAGGCACTAAGGCTGCTGTAGACTGAGGAGCATCAAAGTCTGGGGCTGTTTTTCAATGAGTTTATGTTCATTGAACTGATCATGAACTCTCAAGTGTACAAAGGCATTTTAGACGCAAACCTTCAGATGTCTGAAAAAAAAAACTATTGATCTCAAACCCCTGCCACCTTCTGAAACTGTGCCAAAAAGACAGAAATAACTCGTCCCCTTGGAATGATAAGGTTCTGTCTGTGCTCTGAGCAGTTTTGAGATGTTGAGCTTCAAACATTTTGCATTCTAAATAGCAGAATTCATTTGCGTATCACGTCTCTTTAATACGTGAAAATCGCGGACACTCTAAATCTATTCTAAGTGTACAACATTAAAATCCAATCAAATCTGTAAATGAGTTTTTTGGAACAGGCCAAATGCAGAAAGAACCTTAAAATCCTAAGAACTCACGTCCTGCTTGGAGCTATAAGGTTCTGTCTGAGAAAACATGACAAGAAGGAATGGTTTTAAAGGAACACAGACAGTTTATACTGGTAAACTGGTAATAAAATCAGTCTAACGGAGAGTCTATATTAACAGAAAGTTACATTTCATGTTTCTATGATATTTTTTCGACTTTTATCATTTATTTATTTTTGAGGACTTTCATTTCTTGTTTTAGGAAAAAAAAGAATCGTTTCTCATTCAAAAGAGCATTGCAGGTTATATATAAAGGTCAGTGGTGAATATTTTGTCCAGTGCAGAGGTCAGTCATTAGTTTAAGTTTACTTTAGTTAGACAGAAACCAGCTACTGTAATGAACGGTCCCAGCAGGTCAGTGTAGCAGGTCAGTATAAAGGCAGTGTGAGGTTTTGTTTTATATCAGAAATGTTGACCTAAAGCACCAAAATGTCTTATTTTTTGGGAGAAAGAGGGAAAAAAAGAAAATATGGATGAATGAATGAAATTAATGTTTACGTTGTGATTAAGATCCCATCAATTCAAATGTTTACTATTTACTTACATTTAAGCCTTAAAATTTATAACATGTTTCATATCTTATAAACTTTTCCCGCAGTCTCTGAGCAGAACGGCGACATGACAAAGAAGCAGAACCTGATTGGTCCTTTTGTGCATATTCAAAGTGCTGATTGGCTCACAGGTAGACCTAAGTTAGAGTTCAGCAACCTCACTACTGGGCTTTAGTTACGTTTAGGACATCACATGCCTTCAAAAAGGGGGGGGGACAGTTATTTATTATCGCCCACCCCTAATTCTTCAGTGATATTAAGCTGAAGTCAGATATTCGCAATTCTCCCGTTCCACCTTAAATGGTGCAGCAGTTGTGACACCTGAGGCGCCAGAATGTAACTGCCATTTAAGGTGGAACAGGAAATTTATCTAGCTGGCTATTGAGACATCAGCACTACTAGCAATTTTATGCTTGTTATGAAGAAAAGGATCATAATACATTGAAACGAGATTAAACGATAATTATCGTAATTTTTCTAACTGAGTAAATTCTCACATTTGTGGGTTTCTTTGGTCTCTTTCTTTCTCATAGCTCTCAGTTTGGAGTCTCTGAAAAACCCTGTTTGGAGGGCCATGTAGCTCTAACACTTCACCCCACCCCTCTATCTCAACTAAAGTCAGGACACCCTACCCCTGGGCGTGAATGCGTGGTAGGGGCGAGGGGTGAAGGGGGGATTGAGCCAAAGAGTCCAAAAAAGCACACAACAATGTGAATAACTCAACTCTGACAAAAACGTCAGAGATAGAATCTTAAAATTCCAAGAGAACAAACTGTCCTGGAGTGGCCTGTTCTAGATAAATCCTGCTTGGTTTGATGTTCTGATTTCCAACACAATGAACTTCATACATTTTTAGTACGATTAAAAACACACATTAAATTTAGCACAGGTGACTGATTTCTCTCCAGAGGACTGGACCACTCTCTCTCTCTCTCTCTCTCTCAAACACACACACTCTCTCTCTCTCTCAAACACACACACTCTCTCTCTCTCTCTCTCTCTCTCTCAAACACACACACTCTCTCTCTCTCTCAAACACACTCTCTCTCTCTCTCTCTCTCTCAAACACACACACTCTCTCTCAAACACACACACTCTCTCTCTCTCTCTCTCAAACACACACACTCTCTCTCTCTCTCTCTCTCTCAAACACACACACTCTCAAACACACATACTCTCGCTCTCTCTCAAACACACACACTCTCTCTCAAACACACACACTCTCTCTCTCTCTCTCTCTCTCAAACACACACACTCTCTCAAACACACATACTCTCGCTCTCTCTCAAACACACACACATGCTCTTTTTTAAACACACACACACTTTCTTAAATACACACATACTCTCAAACACACTCACTCTCTCTTTTTAAACACACTCTCAAAAACACACACACACACTTTTAAACACACTCTCAAACACACACACACTCTCACACACACACTCTCTCAAACACACACACACTCTCTCAAACACACACACACTTTTAAACACACACACACTCTCAAACACACACACACTCTCAAACACACACACACTTTTAAACACACACACACTCTCAAACACACACTTTCTAAAACACACACACACTTTCTTAAACACACACACACACTTTTAAACACACACACACTCTCTCCCTCTCTCTCTTTCTTTCTTAAACACATACACACATACATAAATACACTCTCTCTCTCTCTCTCTCTCTGTCCTCACCAGTGTGAAGGGTGTGTTGAGCAGGGTGATCAGGATGTCCGCTATGGCCAGGTTCACTATGAAGAGGCTCGTGGCGGAGTGCATGCGCTTGTTTTTCATCACCACGTGGCACACGAGCGTGTTTCCGAACAGCGAGATGATGATGATGACGCTGTAAGCCACCACGAGCAGCGCCTTCACCGTGGCCGCGTGCTGAGACTCCGCGCCCTCGCGCTTCCTTCCGCGCGCCAGAGAGCGCCAGTCCGCGAGCGCGCTCTCGTCCAGCGCGTACGGGCTCGAGCCGTTCACCTCCAGCAGCAGATCATCCACGTCCAGCACGGACGCGTTGTAGACGTTGTTATTGTAGTTATAATTACGCGGCACGCGCGACGTCCATCCTCGCGCCACGCTCGCGCTCACGTGCGCCAGGTGCACCAAGTACGCCACGTGCAACAGCATTGTCCGCTGCGCAAGTGTTCTCCCTCCTAGGTGTCCGTTTGGCGCGGCATGGTGCGCGCGACTCGCCCAGCTGCTGCACGAGCGCCGCTTTTAAACGCAGCGCGTGCTGTCCTGCGATTGGCCAGTCGGTTCCATCCGAGTTTCTATTGGACAGCCTGATCTTTTTCATAACGACCTCACAGAGCTCTACATTTACAGTCATCCATTCATTCATTCGTTCATTCTTTCTTTTGGCAGATGCTTTTATCTAAAACCTTACAAGCTTTCTTAAGCGCAAGTGCAACACGACTACTACATATATACATATATATATATATATATATATATATATATATATATATATATATATATATATATAAAGACTAGAGACCAGCAGCTTCAGATAATGTTCATCTCAACCTTCAGAATGGGGGATATTTTGACCATGGCATGATTGTTGCTGCCAGACGGGCTGGTTTAAATATTTCTATAACTGCTGATTTCCTGGGATTTTCAGGCTAACAGTCTCTAGAGTTACTCAGAATGGAGCAATAAAGAAAAAACATCCAGTGAGTGTCAGTTCTGTGTACGGAAACACCTTAAAGATGAGAGAAGTCAGCGGAGAATGGTTTGAACTGACAGAAAGGCTACAGTAACTCAGACAACCACCTTGTGGTAAGAAAAGCATCTTAGAATACATATCAAACTTTGAGGTGGATGGGCTACAAAAGCAGAAGACCATGTTTGGTTCCACTTCTGTTGGCCAAGAACAGAAAGCTGAGACTGCAGTGGGCAACAGGTTCACCAAAACTGGACAGTTGCAGACTGGAAAAACATAGCCTGGCCTGATGAATCTTGATTCCTGCTGAGGCACACAGAACACAGATGGTTGGGTCAGAATTTGGATCCAACAGCCTGAATCTGTGGACCCAACCTGCCTTGTCTCAACAGTCCAGGCTGGTGGAGGTGGGGTAATGGGGTGGGGAATGTTTTCTTTGGACCCATTAATACCAATCAATCATTGCTTAAATGCCACACCCTGTCTGAGTGTTGTTGCTGACTGTGCCTTCCTTTATCATCTTCTAATGGCTACTGATGATGCACCATGTCGCAAAGCAAAAGTCGTCTCAAACTGGTTTCATGAACATAACAGTGAGTTCATTTTTCTTCAGTGGTCTTCCCAGTCACTGGATCTAAATCCAGTAGAACCTTTGGGATGTGGTAGAACAGGAGATTCACAGCATGAAAATGCACCTGAAAGGAATTCAATGAAGTCAATGAAGTTAACATGGACCAGAATCTCAAAGGAATGTGTCCAACATCTTGTGGAATCCATGACAAGGAGAATTGAGGCTGTTATGAGAGCAAAGAGAGGCCCTATGCAATATTAGTGTAGTGTTCCTAATAAAGTGCTCAGAGAGTGTAAACAGTCGTATATCATGTCCCAGTCAAGTTACAGCTTTTGTTGATTTTCTAAGTAAAAATAAGTTAACACACCATCTACAGGGACTAAAATAGCACATTTTCCTCCAAATTTAGTGCACAACTTGTACTTATTTGTTCAGTTTAACATACTGAAAAAACATAAAATATAAAATAACTACCAAGCGTTCCCAAAAATTTGCATATGACTGTGTAGTACGCAGTGCTGCCCTAAGAGCTGGCTGTGGCACATGAGGATGTTGGATTTGGCCCACCAGAACATTACCCTAAACCCACCCCCCAATGAGAAAATATACTTATTTTTATTTACTAAATTCTTATGTTCCATTTAAAACTGCAATTTGTCCCCAAATACAAAAGTATGTGCACCACTTGTAGAGAAATATGTCCACTCTCTCATTAGGTGATGGGATGGGGTAGAGTCTTCTCTGACATGCTGATTCAGATGTCTTCACTGATCAATTTTGGGCCACCTTTTTTGGGCCACCTTTTGGCAGCTCTGGTTCAGAAGGTCCTCATAAATGTTTGTATTTATGAGTTTACTACAACAAACAGCGGACAAAGTGAGAAAGAGATCAACTTCAAGTTTCATGTTGCTCTGGATGCATCACCAGCCAGGCCATTCCAGAGCCAGCAGATTTGATAAACTCATCATTTCTGTAGGTAAGTCAAAACCTCTGGTGACTAACAGAAAAAATAAGCTACTCTGACACGTGTTTGAAACTCATTCTGCTTCATTCACAAAACAAATTTAATGAGAGAAACAGCTGGGCTTCCTTGTGTTGGGTAATAAAGCAGATTAGGTGCCAATTTTTTTACGTGGTCTCACGTAGCACAAAATCAATTTGCGAATGTGTGAAGCTGATTTGACCTATTCTGATCTGCTTTAAAGAACTGCTCCATGAAGAACTTCCCGTTAAAGAACTGACTCTTACAAAACTGCTCGTTAAAGAACTGCCCTGTAATGAACGGACACCTGAGAAACCAGAAGACTTTTCCTCTGAACCCTCCAAAGAATTATCCCCAGAAGACAGTCCCTCTGCAGAACTGTCTCCAGAAGACCTTCCCCCAAAGAACTGTCTAGAAGACCTCTCTAAAGACCTGTCTCCAGAAGACCTTCCTCTGAAGAACTGTCTAGAAGATCTCTCTAAAGAACTGTCTCCAGAAGACATTCCTCTGAAGAACTGTCTAGGAAACTTCTCTAAACCACTCTCTAGAAGACAATCCCTCTGAAGAATTCTCTCTAGAAGACATTCCCCCAAAGAACTGTCTAGAAGACCTCTCTAAACCACTCTCTAGAAGATGATCCCTCTGAAGAACTGTCTAGAAGACCTCTCTAAAGAACTGTCTCTAGACGACAATCCCTTCTGAACTTCCATAATTTGAGACGAATACACTTATTTACACTTCTAATCACTCCAGCTGGTTTCCTGATACATTTATTCTGTAAAGAGAAACTGTCAAACACTAAAAAACTCGTGAAACTGAAGTCATTTTCTCAATCTCCAGTTTTTGTTTGAATTTTCCCGTTCCACCTTAAATAGTGCAGCAGTTACATTCTGGTGCCTCGGGCACCATTTAAGGTGGAACGGGAAAATTTGAACGAGAAGCTGTCGAATGAGAAGCGACTTCAGCCTCGTAAAAAGTCGAATTGAGAGACATTTTACAAGAAACGTTTCTACGTTTGTGGAAAAGTTTCCTGCTGGAGATGCGAGAAAATCGGCTACAGCTGAGCTAAAACTTAAAGCAGAGCAAAGTAAGTCTGCGTTTTTGTTTGTATTATATTTTTATCCTATACCAGGACATTAGTATGTACTGAGACATAATTACAGCCAAGATGGTAAAATGGACTCAAAGTGTTGTGGCTCCCAAGGTGGTTTGATTTTTGTTGAAAGGACAAAATGACTCTTATTAACATTTGGGTTGCGACCCCTGCACTAGCCTTTAATGTAGTGTGCTGCCACAGACTGTTCGGGTGCTGCACTTCCGCACTTTCAAGTTCTGCCTTTTGCGTTCCGTCAACATTACATTATCAAATAAAATGTAGAAAATCGGATCTGTCTAAAAGTTTTAAAGTTTTTTTTTCCCTTTTTGTGCAACTTATTCTTGAATATTTTTGATGGTATGACTGTGGGCCAAAGTTCACTGTCTACTCAATTCTTACTCTACAAGCAATACAGAACACCCAAGGACAGGCTGCAGAGCTTAGAAAGATTGCAAAGATGTCCTGGGATTGACCTCAGTTTGTTGCTGTTAACTTAGAGCGTGCAATCGAAATCGCACAGAAAGTGGCTCATAGAGGTGAATATCTATCTATCTATCTATCTATATATATATTCACAATAAACATATCAGCTGTATCTTTATCTAAATTTCTTTACGTATATAAAAGACGTTTAAAAGTACCCAGACACCCCTTCTAATTGGTGAATTAGCTACTCTAAAGTGAATCGATTGCTGACGCAGGCATACGCACAGTAGAAAAGCGCTGTCAGTAGAACAGAACCTTCTGAAACAGCAGCATGAGTCTAAGTCCAGCATGCTCAATGCCAAGCGTCAGCTAGAGGGGTATAAAGCCCCCAGCGCTGGGCCATGGGGCAGTAAAACTGTGTTCTCTGCATTGATGGAGCTCCATCCAATATCTTTAAGATGAGTTGGAGTGATACAGAACTGACCATTCAACATCAGTACCTGACCTCACTTATGCTCTTAGCTGAATGCAGTCAAATCCTCATATCCTCACAGAGGCTGTTACCACAGTAACTGGGGAAAGAACTCCCTATTAATATTCTTGATTTCAGACGAAATTTTCACTGGAGTTGAGAGTTGCTGAATGGACAGACGGTTTGCCTGGACAAAATTTCATATTTGCAACTGTATTGCTACAGTTACTGTATTGCAACTGTAGTGGCGTTTTAAAAGCTTGTTGAATCATGCAAACGCCCTGATTCTTCAAAGCACCCACAAAAACTGATCTGTAAAAATGTACAGAAACACACTGGCAGAGCGTTTCAGCCCCGATGGCTTTTTGAATGAAGCACAATACAGGACAATCAGAAACAGCGCTCATTTACATATATCAGTCATACAAGCACAGTAACAAAAACAGCTTGTTTAATTATGAGGGATGAAGAGAGGATGGAAAGTGGTCACGAAAAAATGAACTGTGACCGTTTTGGACATAAAACCCTGTTAACATTATAAATGGATCTTACAGTGAAAATATGAAATGCAAGAAAATTGTAGGATACGGGCCCAACGAGTGTATCAAGTGTAATTATCAACTAAATGTTCACTTCCCAATTTTCTCAAGAATGGTAGGTTATAACTGACAATTATTTACTGCATTTCTAAAAGAAGAAGTGACAGAGGACTTTGTGTAGGTGGACAGAGGACATTCACAATCTAAAAAATTGAGTTTTCTCTAAATAAATCTTAGTGCCAGTTTCCATTGACTTTTTTGTTTACTCAACTTTGGGAAATAATTAGTTACACTGATTGACATTGTGTTTTCAGCACCAAGTGAAATATTTAGTTGAGCTAAATTAAAAATGAAAAAGCTCTTTGAGTCATACTTCTATACTTACATACTTCTATTTCTCCTTTCTTTCTGACACTTTCATCCGGAGTGCTGCACAGTTACTAAGAATGTAGTGCTGGACATCTTGTTCAAGGACTCTTTTTAATGTAGCAGAGTACTGAACCCTAACATGCCGTGTGGTTGTCAGCAGCGTTACGCTCTATACTACACCAATCCCTGCACAGCAAGTCAGAAAAAAAGGGGAAAAAAGACACAACTGGGTCATTTAAGCCACACTAGGTAGGATTTGGGGATTTGGAGACCTCTCTGGTGGAAATATGTGAGTGAATTATCTACTACTGTCATCACATCTTCATTAGTATAACGTTGATTTTGCATCTGAGACCTAAGCATCGAGCCGGATCTTCAATGTGACACTGATACGTAAAGATGAGCACTGTAAAAAATCATCAGTTTAACCTAAATAAAAAATGACTTCATTGCGACTTTTCCGGTGTGGTCGTGCTTTAAGTGTCAGAATAAAAAGGCAAATGCAAATGAACACAGGGCGCCATCTGCTGGAGATTTACTTTTCATTTCCTACTTTGCTTTTTTGTTTTGAAGTTGCCCAACATGTAAATATATGTTAATTAAAACTAGGTGGGGCTACGGGGTTCGTTTTAGGACATCCTCAGACCTCACAGTGAGAATGGCATCGTTCCTCAGACTAAATGACTTTGAGTCCCGAGAAAAACAAACCGTTGTCATGTTTCAGATCTGGTGTAACTAAACATCAGACCAAAAAAACGAAATTGCCTCAATCAGCAGAAGTAGCGAACACCTAGGCAGTTGACATCAGCTGACAACGCAGCCTCTCGTTTGTTGTAGTGGTTAGTGTACATCTGATTTCATTTACCCTCTAAACACTTTGCCAATGTTATACTGGCATTTATATCGAGAATTCACAAGAGTTTTCTAAGTTATATGAACCAGTATTGCTCAACCCAGCCTTCGTTTGGTCTGAGATACCCTTTTCACTGAGGCCGTTTGCTTATGTGAAAAAATTAAATTGCAAATGTAGGTATTTCACCTGGAAACACTCAGTATAAAAGGACAATAAACATTCTAAACAGTGCCAACAGGATGCCAGGCAGCAGAGCTAATTATTTATACTAGTTGAGCAAACAAGATGTTTGATTTTTTTTTTTTATTTCTGTGTAATGTAAACTATTATAAACAAAGTAAACAAAGTCATTCAGAGTGGTTTGGTGTGAAGTTCTCCATTTCACAGAAACTAACAGACATAACTGTTCACAGTGACAGTGACAGCAACCAGACGTGAAGAGTTTAATGCCTCTAAAAGCTCCCGATTACATGAATCGGTTACAAGCATGTTGCTGACTGTTTGACACTGAGTGCGTCTGCATGCACTTTAGAATCTGATAGCTGCAGAAAATCAGATTATGTCAGTAATCCAATCAACGTGTTTAAATGCACTTGAGTAATCAGATAATGGGGAACTCTGGGTCTCCATGAGTCAGACAGTAATCGGATTTCTGCTTTATAACCAGCAAATAACCAACTCACAGAAGAAGACGTGACGTAAACTGTGACGTAAAACAAAAAAAAAGCTGTGGCTTTTTCATTTTGTCAACATCGCGCCACTTTATGTAAAATATGAAAATAGATCATCTAGAAGATTTCATCAAGCCTGTAGTCGGTTTCAGTGTCGCTCCAAAAGTGTTTTGTTGAGTCTCGCGGGTGCTGCGTTAAACGCTGCTTGCTTATTTCCGGTACCACCATCTGTTTTCACACATATACAGACTCAAGAGAAACGAAAGAAATCAGAGTAAGAGTTCACATGCACTGAGACATCTGATTACTGAGATAAAGTCCAGCTCTCTTTATCAGACTTCTTAATCAGATTGCTAGACCTCTAAGAAATCTGTTTAAATGACCATTTGAATAATCAGATAACTGCAGAAATATGGTTATGATTGGATTATTAAGTGCACGTAAATGCACTCAGTGTTTTACCGTGGTTTTGAGGGAAGCTACTGTCCTAAAATGTTCTTAAAATCCATCTGTGTTGAGGCAAAGTAGCACCCAGAGAAAACTCAGATCTACCACTATTTTACCGTCATCAACACTACAAATAAATCCAACAAGACAACTGTAGGTTCATTTATGGTGTGTGATGCCCTGTGATGGACAGGCAACCTATCCATGGTGTTTCTGGCCTTTCGGCCAGTGATTGTTGGGTTAGGCTCCAGCACACCCTGTGACCTTAGATAGCCTTAGACGCCTTAGATAATGTGTGAGTGTGTTCTACACGCTCTGTCCCTAATTTATTTGACACATACTGGTACATTCTGCGTTTCCATATGGCTAGTTTGGGTGCTTCAGCATTTCTTTAATTGGCTCTGGAATGCTTGACCACTATTGAAGTTTTGCAGAAAAGAAAGTGCTGTTTTCATTTCATGGTAATGAGATAATCAACCTCTTCTTGATATTCTTGGCTGACATAGCTACATAGTGGCTTCAGGCAATGCAGGCTAAAATTCTGCACTGTGTTCAAGCCGTATGCTGGCAAAGGTCATTCTTTTCAAATGTTCGTGACTAATCACAGCTCCATTCACATCAGATCAGATCAGAGTGGCATAATTAAAAACTACATCAGACGATACCTCTTAATGGAGCTGTGAATTTACCTTTTAAAGCAGAGATCCATTAGCTACATAGTCTTAGCCAAGCCTGATGTTGATATATTCACAGTGAGCTCTATACAGAGTGCACTGCTTAGTGAATGACACGGTCTGCAAATACATGAACCCACAAACCCCATCACCATAGATATCTGACCTTTCCCTTAGCTTTTTGTGTTTTGGAGGCAGAAAATGCAGACTTACTGAACTTTTCGGCAACAGTCTGATTCAGAGTTCAATAGCTATACAAAACTATAGCTGAATTCTATCAGCTACCATCGTGTTCTGACTGAATTCTATCGGCTACCGTCGTGTTCTGCCTGAATTCTATCGGCTACCATCGTGTTCTGCCTGAATTCTATCGGCTACCGTCGTGTTCTGAGTGAATTCTATCGGCTACAGTCGTGTTCTGAGTGAATTCTATCGGCTACAGTCGTGATCTGAGTGAATTCTATCGGCTACAGTCGTGTTCTGCCTGAATTCTATCGGCTACCGTCGTGTTCTGACTGAATTCTATCGGCTACTGACGTGTTTTGCCTGAATTCTATCGGCTACAGTCGTGTTCTGCCTGAATTCTATCAGCTACAGTCGTGTTTTGCCTGAATTCTATCGGCTACTGACGTGTTCTGCCTGAATTCTATCAGCTACAGTCGTGTTCTGCCTGAATTCTATCGGCTACTGACGTGTTCTGCCTGAATTCTATCAGCTACAGTCGTGTTTTGCCTGAATTCTATCGGCTACTGACGTGTTCTGCCTGAATTCTATCAGCTACAGTCGTGTTTTGCCTGAATTCTATCGGCTACTGACGTGTTCTGCCTGAATTCTATCGGCTACTGACGTGTTCTGCCTGAATTCTATCGGCTACTGACGTGTTTTGCCTGAATTCTATCGGCTACTGACGTGTTCTGCCTGAATTCTATCGGCTACCATCGTGTTCTGCCTGAATTCTATCGGCTACCATCGTGTTCTGCCTGAATTCTATCGGCTACCGTCGTGTTCTGAGTGAATTCTATCGGCTACAGTCGTGTTCTGAGTGAATTCTATCGGCTACAGTCGTGATCTGAGTGAATTCTATCGGCTACAGTCGTGATCTGAGTGAATTCTATCGGCTACAGTCGTGTTCTGCCTGAATTCTATCAGCTACCGTCGTGTTCTGACTGAATTCTATCGGCTACTGACGTGTTTTGCCTGAATTCTATCGGCTACAGTCGTGTTCTGCCTGAATTCTATCAGCTACAGTCGTGTTTTGCCTGAATTCTATCGGCTACTGACGTGTTCTGCCTGAATTCTATCAGCTACAGTCGTGTTTTGCCTGAATTCTATCGGCTACTGACGTGTTTTGCCTGAATTCTATCGGCTACTGACGTGTTCTGCCTGAATTCTATCGGCTACCGTCGTGTTCTGCCTGAATTCTATCGGCTACCGTCGTGATCTGACTGAATTCTATCGGCTACCGTCGTGTTCTGCCTGAATTCTATCGGCTACAGTCGTGTTCTGAGTGAATTCTATCGGCTACCGTCGTGTTCTGCCTGAATTCTATCAGCTACAGTCGTGTTTTGCCTGAATTCTATCGGCTACTGACGTGTTCTGCCTGAATTCTATCAGCTACAGTCGTGTTTTGCCTGAATTCTATCGGCTACTGACGTGTTTTGCCTGAATTCTATCGGCTACTGACGTGTTCTGCCTGAATTCTATCGGCTACCGTCGTGTTCTGCCTGAATTCTATCGGCTACAGTCGTGTTCTGAGTGAATTCTATCAGCTACCGTCGTGTTCTGAGTGAATTCTATCAGCTACAGTCGTGATCTGAGTGAATTCTATCGGCTACAGTCGTGATCTGAGTGAATTCTATCGGCTACAGTCGTGTTCTGCCTGAATTCTATCGGCTACAGTCAGATTTAGACAGAGCCCTGCTGGCTACACTTAGTATCTGACTGGTTGCAGTCAGATTTAGATAGAACTTCGTTAAACTACTCTCAGATACAAAAAGAATCTTACTAAGTAAAACAATCAGGTTCAGATTATATACATGGTGCTGTGGGTCATGTTGGGTCAGACTTGGACAAAGAAAGTTCTTGAGCTATTTAACACACATACACGGGCTTCAACTTGTATAGCAATCTGAATGGTGCTTTCATTCAAAAGCTATTGCACATCTCACTGTTTGCTTCTGAACCTCTGGCTCAATTATGCCAAAAAAGGCCTGCAGAAAAGCAAAGCTGGGACACAGCAGTGTGGAGCAATAATGAACTCTACAATGGTGCACATATAAAAGACACAAGACAAAAACAGGACATTTGAAGAAGTTTACTGAGAGCTCAGAGGCCGATTCCAGCAGATTAATGTCCAAGCACATCGATATATGTCTGTCAGCCAGACCACTGAGAGGGAATCTGAACAAAAGCAGAGTACACCAAGGCATTATGGGAGCCGTACTGCCTACATCATCACGGTAGTGCTGTTGGGACCATAATCGATGGCTGAGAATAACCATCACTGAATTATAATGAACTTTATTCCTCTATATGATTTATTACACAAATGTGTTTTTTAGGAGGAACTACAGAAAAACGGAACTATGCACATTTACAGCTGGTTTGGTCGGGAGGTGATGGTGAAGACGTTCATGGCCTGAGGCTTATCACGGCATTCGCCTACTATATGAGCTAAGGCTAAAGGTGAAGTGAAAGGTTAAGGTTCAGGTTGAAGTTAAAGATGCATCTTCTGAAATTTCTGCTAAACATGTACCAGCAGGCAGCATTACTTCTTGTTTTTCGTGCTTGTGGACTTTGAATAAACTTTACTTGTTGAGTGCACTCAAAGAGCACAGCTACACCCAAGACAGTAAGATCTGAGAGAGAAAAAAAAACGTCCACCTTGTGCAGACAAAAATAGTGGGATCCATTTTCCATTTTCAAAACAAACCGGCAGGTTTAAGAAAGGGTGGGAGTGAGAGTCAACTGAGGATGGGAGGGAGGGTGAACTGAGGTCAGGCACAGGTTTGATTTGGAGAGTTTTGTCCAGTCATCTTCTGCCCTGTCGACTTGAGCTTTTAAATGGGTCGAACTCATCCTGAAATAGGGGAAAAGGGGTAGAGGGAATGCAGAGGCAGGGAGACAGAGGTGTTAAAGGGAGGGGGGAGGGACAGAAAAAGAGAGAGAAGGAGAGAGACAGGATAGAGGGAGGGAGAGAGAGCGAGAGAGAGAGATGGGAGGGAGGGAGAAAGAGAGAGGTGAGGGGGAGGGAGGAAGAAAGAGAGAAAGAGGGGAGGGGGAGGAGAGAGAAAGGGGAGGGGGAGGGATGAGAGAGAGAAAGGGGAGGGAGGGATGAGAGAGAGAAAGGGGAGGGAGGAAGGGGAGAGAGAAAGGGGAGGGGGAGGGATGAGAGAGAGAAAGAGGAGGGAGGGAGGAGGAAGGAGAGAGAGAGAGATAGAAACATGTTAGAGTGGGTAACTGATTGAGAATCAGAATTACTCAAGTATTGTATTGTAATTATTAAATTCGGTTATAAGTAATGCACATACGGAGATTTTGTCTTGGTGAGTCACACATGAATGACATTAACAGGCTAAACAGACCAGACAAGCACATAGAGTAGTAATAAATATTACTTTAAACGACAAATAAAGTAAAAATACAGTAAATAGAATAAATAATAAAGAGCCGCTGTGAAAGGAGCTAAAGAGATGTGTGAATATCTGTACATATGCACTTATGAATATCTATACATATGCAGGTCTGAGTAGACATATAACAACTATTATATACAGAATATTACAGAATATGAGCATTCGTAAAACTTAACATCTGTACAGCTGTGCAAATAAGCATTAGGTTACAGAGGAGACACTGTGATACAGTAAGGAGGTTTGTCAGGTCCACTGTGGTTAATGAGCTGCAGCTCTGGGGAAAAATCTATTAGCATGTCCGCCTGTGCTGGTTTTGACGCCTCTGAATCTTCAATCAGAGGTGATGTCCAGGATGAGGACTGTAGATGAAGCTTTGACAGATAGATCTGATGACCCTCTCTGCTGTCCTGATTATGTGCTGGAGTTTAGCTGGTTCTTGTGAGGTGGAGGAACCAAACTAGATGGTTATGGATGATGTGAGGATTGACTCGAGGATCGCTGTGTAGAACTGGATCATCAGGTTCTGCGGCAGGTTGAATTTCTTTAGCTGTCTCAGGAAGAACGTTGTCTGCTGAGCTCTCTTGGCGACGTAGACTCCCAGCAAAATGATTGACTCCACAGTGGAAACCAAAAAGCAATTAATTCTGGTGTGGGGTGGGGTTGGGGGTCCCTACAGTCTTTTACATGTTCAGCAGCAGGTGGTTGCTCCTGTACCAGGAGGTCAGCTGCTTGTCTTCCCTTCTACAGACAGACTCATCACAGTTGGCTATGAGGTCCACCACAGTAGCAGAGCTACCAAACTTGGGAAAATATCTTGCGTGGCATAATAGTATAACACCAAAACAAAAAAGTCAGGTTAACGTTATCAACATATTTTCCATAGTTTCCACATCCACTCCAGCCTGTTTACCTTTCCAAAAGAGTTAAAAGCACTATCCTCTCTTGTGGAACCAGCCAGATGGCGAGGAGGGAACGAGAGGGATAGAAAACATTTCATGTTACTATCGAATTGGAGTGAAATAATTAACATTAAACATTTGTCATCCTCAGCGTATGAACCCAGCACTACGTTTGTTCAAACTCTTCTTCTTTTGTTTTATCCATGATCACACCGACAGATAGAATCTGGCACAGACAGCTGGTACAGTTTGACCTGCAGCAGCTCTGGCACTATGGCATTAAATGCCAAGCTGAAGTCCACAAACAGAACTCTAGCGTTGGTTCCAGGACTGTTGAGGTTCTGTAGCATGAAGTGCAGGGATAAGTTGACCGCACTGTCAACAGACCTGTTAGCTCTGTATGTGAACCGCATGGGATCCAGCAAAAGGTTTGCAATGGCCTTCAGGTGGGCTAAGACCCGGCGTTCAAAGACCTTTATGACTACAGAGGTCAGGACTACTGGCCTGTAGTCATTTAGTCCAGTGATGTCCGTTTTTTGGGGGAGTGGAATGATGGTAAATGTTTTGAAGTTTGTGGGAACAGAACACCTTATAGTTGGTGATCTCCTGGAGGGCAAAGTGATCTGCTGAAGATGTTCTGTGATGTTTGTTGGTCACAGCAGTGCTTTAGAGTGGTCGAAGATACTAAGTTTGGCCCCTAAGCTTTTCTTTTTTCTCAGACGTCCTGCTCATTACCGTGAGATGAGCAGGGGAGGCAGAGGTGAGATGGCCATGGTGAGAGAGAAAGGCAGAGATTGTCTTTCACAGGTTCAAATCAGGAAAAGGGGAGTTTTCGCACCTGTAGCTGGTGATCTCTTGGAGGCCAAATTGAAGTTGAGCTGTTTGCAGCCAGGTGGCTTTAGAAGCTTTTCTGCTAATAATGAGAATTTAAAATATTTAAATCCCAAAACAAGCCCAACAACAAAGAATAAAAAATTAAACAGTATCTGTGCATGTTTTACTCATTTTCAGGACAAATATGTCCTCACTCAGAAAAATCAGAGAAAAAACAACAGGATTGACAACCATGCTCCTGATTATGACGTCTGAATGCTCTTTTGACTGAACGGGAGAAAATTCCCAGAGATACACTCCAAAATCTTGTGGAAAGCCTTCGCAGAGGACAGGAGGCTGTTATAGTCGCAAAGCAGGGTCCAGCTCAATTTTATTGCCCACTACTTCCAATCAGCTCATATAAGTGTGACGGTCATGTGTCCGCATACTTCTGGCCATAAAGTGTATATAATAGAAATGAGACATCATTTAAGGCTTCTGCAGCAAGTTAGCCACGGCGGCTATGCTGCAAACACGGGACAAAGATGGAAATTTGTCTCAGATCTGATTTTGAAAACAGATCTGTGTCACATTAAAAAAAACAACAAAAAAAAAAAAAACAGACTGTGCCACTTGTTAATGTGAATGTAGCCTTTGCAAACTTGTCTTATACTTACCTCATCATCATCATCATCAAAGCAAACTCCTTTGTAGGACTGGCTCTGGCTCTGAGAGCTCCTTTTACTGGAAGTGACGGAGGAGGTTCTACAACACATCAGAGAGGACAGAGTTCAGGAATTAATATTAAGACTTATGATTCAGTAACGACTATAAAATATTTGGGAATTATTACTGTTGCAATGTCAATAGTCTGGAGGGGAAAAAAAGAATCCAATCTAAATCTATTTTAGATCTTCTTTTTTATCAGGTGTTAATCATGTTTTTAACTTCTATTCTTGCTTACTTTGCTTTTTGAGCTAAGTATTATTAGTATTTCTAGGAGTGTTGAATATTTTCATTTTCAAGTATTCTGTTATTACTTTAGGGAAATATTTTTAGAGTTTATTAAGTTCATGTTTAGAAGCACTTTAAAACGGCTTATATTCACTATGCATTGGTCTTTATTCATTATGATCTGTATTAGAATATGTTCATTATGCGAAAATGTCTAAACAATTGCATTATTGGTTGCAATACTGCACAATAAACACTTTGTTATAAATTGTTGAACCTGAATTAATAACCTAAATCCACATTTTGTTAGTATAAAATTGTGAACATTGTATTCCTAAATGTTCTAGTTAGTGTCAAGTGACAGAGTTTATTGCATTAGAGCTACTAAGAGTTTAGTAAATCACTAATATGCTGACTTGGTATGAAGGTTCCACTTCGTTAAAAATGAATCTCTTACCTTCGTTTGGGGAAAAAAAAACATATTTGACATGAACAAGCCTTAAACTCTTTAAAATCCCAGGCTTATTACATACCAAGGCTTACGATTCAGCAGCTACATGGACTTCAGTGCAAACTGACTGAGCTATTCTTAGGTTATAGAAGCATTTCAACCAAACTTTGGGCCTGCTGGTGGATCTCTTCCAAATACGATGGTAAAAGTCTATTAAATAAACAAACCGCGTCAGAGTACAATGATATAGAGGAGAGACTTTTAATCATTTCAGTCCTGTGTTATGATGCGTTTTCCATTCATAGATTTATCACAATCTACTCTCTCTATCTATACATTTGGCTAATCACTCTTCCCTATGACCATATGTCTGGTGAGTCACATGGAGCCACAGCCTCAGCACTTCTCCCTTCTGAATCAGCTCTAAACATTCAGATGTCATACATGAACTCCAGAGTTCCACACAGTGAAGCAGCCTGTTATGTTCCCCACCCCATTACACCACCTCCACCAGCCTGGACTGTTGACACAAGGACGATTGGGTCCACTGATTCATGCTGTTGGTGCCAAATTCTGACCCAACCATCTGTGTGATCAGTAGTTACAGAACTGTTCAAACAATCATGCCACTGTCAAAATCACTGAGATCACATTTCCCCCCATTCTGACGGTTGATGTAAACATTACCTGAATCTGCTGCCCATATCTGCATGATTTTATGCACCGCACTGCTGCCACACTATTGGCTGATTAGATAATTGCATGAATGAGTAGGTACACAGATGTTCCTAATAAACCGCTTGTTGAGTGTAAAAATATCGTCTAAGCAGGATCAGAGCAAGTATACATAACACTGTCATTACATTGTCATGACACTGACAGTAACTCAAAGCTCCTATAAGCACGAAAGTGATACTTAAGGATCAGAGAAACTATACATAACACTGTCATTACAGAGCATCACTACTAAAATCTTCACAATATAACTACAGTTTTCATTTCAGTGTTACCACAAAGGGCCAAATCAATTTTTAGAAGTACTCACCATTGTTTGATTTTGCAAACAGACTCACTTGTCACAGTATGTAACGATCACTGTGTTTCATATGCCAAAAACAGACTGAGCTACTCAGCGTCAGCTGTCATTACATGTTCTCATATCAAACCAGAAAGTGTTTGTCAGCAAAAATTTGTTATATCAACTTTATATAGAAGTTGACAAAAGCAGCTTTTATTACAACTTCTGCTTATTAGAATAAGCTTTAGAAATGTTTGTTACCTGCCATGAAAAGCTCATCTAGCTGTCACGTAGCTTTGTGAACGTGATGTACAGTAATATGTTACCCAGTTTTTTATCAGACAGAATCAGAATACATTCAGTAAAGCATGTCCGACCTCGAGAAAGATGTCTAATCTGCTAAGGGTGTGACACCCTGGCTACAAAGACTGAGGACATTATCAAGAAATTTGGGTAAAGTCCTGCAAATCCTTCCTATTTGTCTTCAGGTAACACACACTTACCTCTGGACAGGCTTGGACGAAACAAAGGACAAGTCGTCTTCTGAGTCACTATCATCTATGATGACCTGGAGAGATGAGATTAATAAGAAAATAGAGATGAAAAGGTGAAAAAGATTGAAGTACAAGACCACCCAGGTTCTTTCTGTTTTTGCCCCTTTTTCTTTCTCTCGTTCTTTTATCAGGTATCTCCGAACAGGACGTTCCCAAACAGTGTCCAAGGACTTGCTCTGAGCGTGTTCGTCATGAACAAAACAAATACAAATTCGGCATTTTGCTGTATCCTTTTACCCACAGGGAGAGTTTAGCTCTCAATGTCAATGAAGCTGCTCAGAGTCCTTCACTTCAGCTCAGAAACAGTGACAAAACTTGCACTTATCTCTCCCTATACAGCAGTACTATTGCTGTCCCCTGAGCCAGCAGTAGTGGAGCATCATAAAGCAGGAGGGATATTATTTTTCCCAGTAAACACTTAACAAGTTTTTGCAAACACTCAACAATTCATTATAATCCCATTTAAATGTTCAAATGTTTGAGGATGGTGCACTTTTAAAGTACTTCTAAAGATTCCTCCTTCCAGTGGACAACAAAGAGATGTGGGGGAAGTTGCGGTTTCAGTATGCAGGTTTTAATGAATGTGAATTCTCTGAATAATACAGGAACTTGTTGACCTCCTATGTAAAACATGGCAGAACCTGGAAAATCAGCTCGTTAAAGACTGGTATCTTTTCCAGACACATTTCAGACAATTTAAAGACTTGGGTTAGGGACTGGAGTTGTGTACACTGACTATTGTTGATATTCAGTTATCCTTAAGAGCTCATTAATGGCCATGGGCTGGTATTAACGTATCATAGCTTTTACGTACATACACAAAGGGTAAACTAGTGCCAGCAGGCTAAAGAAAAGTTTCCAGGGGGGATGTACATTTGAAAACGTATTGTACCCTGCACCCATCCCCAGCCGCGAAAGCCGGCGGGAAGGCAGGGCCCAAGCCACACATGCCGGGGGCCACAAGTGACAGCGGGAGGAAGACGACAGCCATGAGAAGCACAAAGGCGGGATATGAACTCCGCCACCCAGGCCCCTCCTCCTGTTGTGTGCGGAGGGCCACTAGACTACACCTCAAGTTCGATCCAGGCAGCTGAGCTGGGGAGCAGGGGCAGTGACAGGGAGGCAGACCAATGGGCTCTATCTCTCTCGGCTCAGGAGCTCAGCGCAAGTGTCTTTATAAAGAGCAGAGAGGGAACAGAGAGAGAGAACAGAGGGATGAGCAGCAGCTGCAGACTGAAAAGCTGAAAAGCTCAACTTCGAGAAAGTCTAGCTTTGAAGCCACTGAAAAGCGGCCAGCTTTGGTTTGGTTGTGTTTCGTGTGTTTTGTTTGTTTGGCGTAAAAATAAAGTTAAATGGCTGCTGCAGGCGTTCCTCCTGATCCCGGTCTAGCACAGGCCGTGCTATACATATTTCATTACTAGTCTTCCCAGTGGATGATGTACCAAAATGTTGGTTTGATGAAATAACATTGAAAACAAATAAATATCTATTCATTGTTCTTGGTTCTAGCTTACACCAGCTTAATTGTGTAGCCTAGTTACAGCTGCACTACCTTTGTCTTCTCAATTACGTTCTAATGACTTCCTGGCAGCACACTTGTTTCACAGCAGCCAACAAGAGCACTGTGCAAATATTTGTTAATCTGTTCAATTTGCAGTCAAAAAGGTCATTAAGTGAGTTCTTCATGTTTCAGCAGTAAGGCAAAAGCAGAAAATATACAATTAACTAAAAAAAGTATAAAAAGTCTCAACAACTACACAGACCAGACTTTCTTCAGTATCTACTTCCACTCTTTGTCTTCATTACAGCTTCCACTGAGAACGCCAGCAGCTTCTTTATTCTCAGTAATGGTTAAACAAATTAACAGTCTGACAGCTTCACATCCTTTCAGACTCCAGGTGTTGAGTTGTCTTCTTGCAGCTGGACAGAAACAGCTGTGAAACTGTTCAGATCTGATGTGAGAGTAGTCCTATTTCTCCAAGATTAAAGTAGTGGTTTTCTGAGGGTGACAGTTTTGGTGGAAGTCTCATTTACTCTAATTTAAGACTTCTTTGAAATACAGATTTGGAAACTCTTGTTTTTTTTTTTTATTATTTTCCTTTGACTTTCCTCTTATTTCCCCGATCAATTTTGACTGGAAATTCTGATCAATTGTAAGTTATGTCATTTAAATAAAAGATGAGTGGTATCTGACTTTTGCACTGTAATTCACTCAAAATATGCATCTTATTCAAATAAACGATTAACCCTTGTGTGGTCTTTGTGTTATTGTTACTCAGTGGTCTGGTGGACCCACCACATTATTGGTTTATTAAATCAATACAGCCATAACTATTTATATAAGAATACCAGATGTTTAAAATATCACAAGTGGCCAGTGTAGGCTTCTTCTTTAGCAGCTGCAGCCAGTCAGCAGCCTGTCCATGTTATCCACCCTACACACACACACACACACACACACACACACACACACACACACACACAAACTCACACAGACTCCCACACACTAACAGCAGGCCATGTAGGAGAAGAACAGAATGAAGGACACAGCACCTCCACACTTTTACTCCCCGCAGGTTCACCCCAACACCACATGTGTAATATAAATGTGTGGGGGTGAACAGAGTGAAGACACTGACAATTATTTTACATGCTCTTCACAGAAAATGAGCAAAGGCCAAGAAATCTGAGGTTGAAATAATAATTAATCTTATCATTTTTCTTTTGGTAAACTTTGAAAATGGGTCCCACAGACTCCAACATCATACAAGGGTTAAGTCTAAAAATACTAAGGCCTAGTCGCATTTCATCCCCTGCCCCTACCACTGAGCCCTTAGCCCTCTGTTTTGCGCAGTCACGTCTAGGGTTAGGGTGTCCCAATTTGTGTTGAGATAGAGGGTGAAACGGAGGTTTTTCAGAGACTCCAAACAGAGCGTTATGAGAAAAAAAGAAAAACCGGCAAGATGGCTGTGCGAGTGAGCAAAGAAACCCACACATGTAAGTATTTTCCCTGTTAAAAATGACGATAACCACTGTATTGTCTTAGTTTAATGTCGTTTCAATTTATTATGGTCATTTTTGTTTGTAATAAGCTTAAAAAAAAGCACGCTAATGTCTCAGTAGCTAGCTAATTTTCTGGTTCCACCTTAAATAGTCCAGCAGTTCTGACGCCTGAAGCGCCAGAATGTAACTGCGGCACCATTTAAGGTGGAACGGGAAAGTTCGAACAGGAACCTGGTGAATATCTGACTTCAGATTCATATCACCAAAGAATTAGAGGTGGGCGATAATAAATAACTGTCTTATACCTCGTCTTTGAAGTCATATGATGCCCTAAATGTAACTAAAGCCCAGCAGTGAGGAGCTGAACTTTACCCTCCTCTGCTATCACCGAAGGTGGGCTGGATCGCCTATGGAGCACCGCTAGTAGCTGTTAATGAAGCAATGTTTTTTTTTTTTTTCTTTTAATTTGAGGGTTGTCCCATTTCGTAGGGCAAGATTCCAATCACTACCCCTTGTAACTCAGTTCCAAGGGGTTAGGGTGACACTCGAAAACAAGGGGTAGGGGTAAAAAGAAGAAATGGGATTGGGCCGTTCAAATGACCGTGTCCATTTCTAGTCACTAAGAGGTGTTTAGGGTATCCAAAAAACAGCCATACTTAGAAATAATGAGGTTAATATACGTGAAATTATGAGAAATCTTGTCCCTTGAAAGTCTGCTTCTAAACCAGTGCAGGTATAAAAATGCTACGTTGCTCATCCGATGGCACCGCATTGTAAACAAACCAACTCTCTGAACAAAGTATGTAGAGCAGTTGCCATGCCGACACATCTCACAGGCATCAGGGCCCACACAGCGCACTTCACAGTGTTCACTGTGTTTGTGTCACGACACAAGGGCAGATTTAGGCGACCGTGTGTCGACCGTGCTGAACTGAGGACGACCACGTTTCTGCAGTTGTTAATGAGCACTCAGCGAACTCATCAGCTAACACAGACAATCCTGCCGACAAACAGAACACACAACAGCACTTAATGCAGACAGGAAGACAGAGCCACTACGGTGACTGTATTGCTGAGAAAGTCAAAGAAAAAAGTAAACGTCTATCCTCCTTTATGTTTTTAAACAACGCTGTATGTTCTCATTTGTAAAGCCCTGTGAATGACAGCAGTGTACTGCCCTGCTTTGACTTCCACTTTGAGAAGACAACTCAGTGCTATGGGTCTGAAAGGATGTGTAGCTGTCAAGAAGAACCTCACTGAGAAAAGGAAACAGACAAAAAAAGAACTTTTACAAAAAAAAAAGCTGCTGGTGCTCTTAGAACAATGGACTGTCCATCCCAAAGTCCAGACCACAACATGACTGATGTGATTATTTGGATCGCAGAAAGAGGCAGAAAATGCAACCGACTTCTAACACTGAACATTGGAGGTGTGGCTGCAGATTTCTTTGACAAACTGAAAGCAAGACTCCCAAAAAGAGTGGAAGCTATAATAAAGGCAAAGAGTGGACACACAGACTACTGAATATGTTTATATAAATATGTTTTCTGCTTCTTTCCTGAAGCTGGAAAATGAATTGAACGAACTTAACGGCAGTTTTGATTAAATAAATGATTTAAATGAGTTAAATTAAATGAATAGTAACTACAATAAAACTAATTTGCATGTTACATAGTTTTAAAAGTGAGGAGTTGACGTGTGGACCCGCACACAGACTTCTGACCACCTGCTTTGAAATGCATGAGTTGTTATTGAGAGATATGTATGGCTTTATGGCTGTAATATTCTGCAGTGTTTAGCTCAAGGGCTCGCTCTGCTTTCTCGCCTTTCTCTTATATCTCATACAAACACACCCAGAGGAGGCAAGCTCGTTCCAAAATACAGCTGAACCCACTCTGCACCAGTTCATTATCTGCGCATGTGTATGTGTGGAGGTTTAGAGCTTCCCACCCACAACTCCTTATCTCCACACTGATAAACCCTAATAAACAAACGTATTCCCCAGCGGAGG